TCGCCACGGGACTTGGTTGCCCATAATCCGGCACTCGCACTATGTGTTGAGGGCACATAGTCCCTTACTGTAGTGTTCAAAAAGTGGGGGCAGGACTTTCCTTTTAATGTGCTAGGTTCCCAAGGTATTTATTGCATGCTATTTGCGTTTCCTTCAGGCGGAAGTGTGGCACAAAAAAAATCATGTGCCAGTCCAAATTCTGTGTGTCGTTGCATCTGAACATGCACAAAGTGCCGTATAATCTGACTTTATTAAACGCTAGATGTCTTTTCATAATGTGATCCTCCACCCTATTCTTCTCTGCCAGGAAAGATTCTTGGTAAATGCAATACATACATTTATATGCCAGACCTCGTTTACACATTAATTGGTTAGCCATCTAAAAGCACAAAAGGAGGTAGGATTTGAGTCACTGGTCCAAAATTTACTAAGGACTCGCCTCAGTTGCCTTCTTGTACACACCAACATACTAAAAAACAATTCCAATTTTGAAATGTATGATGAACAAATTCATATATATATTTTTGTTATTCATTTCCCTGATATATTCTTTGTCAACAGTCCCCAAGGGTGACTGGGGAATAGAAGTATGGTCACCATTGGTCTTCCTCCGACCGGCAGTAAAACCCTTGCTAAAGTGGGGCGTCCGTTTGGCTGTGTGGGATGTACAAAATTGCAGTCACGTCCGGTCAGAATGGGGACGTTAAATCCGATGCCTCGTGTAAAGAGAGTGCCACGCTCTTTGCACGTTAAGAACCCTTGCAACAACTCTTTGAGGGGTCCGTAGGTGACCTGTTGAAAGGCTAAATTTCTGTCCCTATTCAATATACCCTCATTTCCCGTGGCAGTCTAAATTTCTCCGACCTTAATCCCGGAAGCCCCTATTACCGAACCTACCTATTGCATTTATTGTTAATTTGTTCTCGTCCTGATTATGCATGAAAGAGTTGTTGCAAGGGTTCTTAACGTGCAAAGAACGTGGCACTTTCTTTACACGAGGCATCGGATTTAACGTCCCCATTCTGACCGGACGTGGCTGCAAATTGGTACATCCCGCACAGCCAAACGGACGCCCCACTTTAGCGAGGGTTTTACCGCCGGTCGGAGGAAGACCAATGGTGACCATACTTCTATTCCCCAGTCACCCTTGGGGGACCTTTCATTATGTATTTTCTACAAATTAACATATCCCATGTATGTGAAAGGTCTCACCCTTTTTTTAATGTTTCTGTTTCTTTAATCATCATTTAGTCCCATTTTCTGTAAGTCAGAGAGAGAGAGAGTCATGGTGTTTTCAAATAATGTTGATAGTACATTTTTGGGGCCAATAAACCCAAATTTGCTAGTCCACTTGTGTGTCTGTATTTGGAAAATAAGTTTGTTCTAATCTTCGAACCCTGTTATGTCAATGACGAGCCATTCTCAAAAATTGATGTCTCCTAAATCAATCTCTATATAATGAGTGTCACGACAATGTGTATACTTTTCTGGATGCTTATAAATGTAAAGGTTTTTCATACTGTTCCTTAGCAACAACTCGGCTGTTGGATCCCGAATAATGTCTCGTGACGGCACATAATCAATTATTTTTGCATGTAGATGTTTGATAACAGTTCCTATGATCTTGTTTGTAGTGGTCCACAATGGAATCAAGCAAGAGCACTAATTGAGCAGCATTGCCATTACAGTTCTTCATTGCCCAGTAAACATGGGTTTTAACACCAGCAGATTTGGTTCTTAGTTCCGGATGCCACGTCTTTCCGATGTTTTTCCTTGTCCCCTTTGTAATCTTAGCCATATTCCTGCGCACCTCCTTTGCACCATGCCAAGTGTCATAGGAATCAATTACATCTGGTTGGTATTGGCTCAGATATTTACTGACAAATGCATTTCTATCATGCGAATGAACTTTAACCTTAATCCGTTTCCTTTCGAAATCTTCATATAGCTTTGCTGTTCCGTAAATTTCATGCTTCTGGGAACTCCTTACCTGGTTCTTAGTTACGTGACTATATCCTACTATTTTATGAGTCTAGTTACCCAGAGCTGTTACATCAGTGTGAAAACTGTTCCTTCTGCATGCATGTCTTGCATCTGTCATAATGTCAAGTTTATCATCACTGTAAGAATTTTCATTTTTTTCCTCTTTAAGGTGTAATACCACCAAATCATAGTACGTCACATCCGGTTGCATACGAAAATAGGTCGAAAAAAATATTCTATTGAATTTGACAGTTGTAGGAAATTGATCCTACATTTCATTGCAGTAAAACATTTCTGAGTCATAAACATATATCTTGGGTATTTCGAAGCACCATTATTTCTTTATTTGGAGTTTCTATAGAATATTTTGGAAACTTGAGGTTACATGGTTACTAAAGCTTGTACACAGGTTAAAAAAGGGGGAAAATTTGATTGGTTAACTTCCAGTGATGGTTATTTTCTTATATGCAATGAAATGTTATGTGAATTTTTTTCTATAGTACTGGACAGGATAAATCTTTACTCATGCCAAGTATTTCTTTATTTGAAACAAAGATAAATTCTGCACAATTTTTTGAAAAGTGCAAATTTAACAAAGACTAATAGGGGAAAATCAATGGTGGTATTACACCTAATATGGGAAGCTGTACATGCACCTTTGACCTTGTGAGTACTCTCATGTGTTAAAATTTCTTGCTATTTAAGTGAAATATTACAAATAATGAAATATTCTGAGTGGATTGAGTCTCCAAAATACATTTTATGAGAAAATTTCATTGAAATAGGACTTTACCATGAATATTAGTTGACAGAACAAGCCATACTTAGAGTTTTGGGGAGCTTTTTCTCCTTATTTCTTATATTCTGCTATACTAGAAAATGTTTCCTTAGAAATACTTTAATAAATATATAGTTTTAAGTAAATGAAATTACTTTTAAAGCAGTAACAACAAATTATTCACCAAAAAAGAAGTTTTTTATGTCCCTCTCTGGAATGCGGCATAAATTTAAGTTTTACGTAAGGACTTATTGAAACCTCCTTGGAGACAGTAAACTTTTATACAGTTAGTTCATTCAGCTTGAATACTTCAATTAATCATTTATAATAACATTTCTATCATAAATGAGTGAAAGTTACCCCAAAATTTTTATTTATTAGCCTAAAAAGTAGAAATTTTGAGGAAATGAGAGGTATAAATGGACCAAAAGAGACCTTATAAGGAAGACAAAGAGGTCCATTAGTAGTATTTATCATCCTAAAGTCATCTTATGTATCATACTCAACTGTTTGTAGGCAGATGAGATAAATATTTGATCATTTATTGGTCCACACTATATTCTATCATGATGCGGCTTGGTTTGGATTTTTCGAAGAAATTTTGCTCGAATCGCTGTAGATGTCGTCTTACAATATATTAGATTTTTTTCAAACTATTGAACTGATTATGACAAAACTTGACAGGAATGCTTGAAATAACCAGTATTACAAAGGAAAACAGTCACATTTAGTTTATTTAACAAAAAAGTCTTCTTTAGGTGTAATACATCCAAATCATAGTACGTCACATCCGGTTGCATACGAAAATAGGTCGAAAAAAAATATTCCCTTGAATTTGACAGTTGTAGGTAATTGATCCTACATTTCATTGCAGTAAAACATTTCTGAGTCATAAACATATATCTTGGGTATTTCAAAGCACCATTATTTCTTTATTTGGAGTTTCTATAGAATATTTTGGAAACTTGAGGTTACATGGTTACTAAACCTTGTACACAGGTTAAAAAAGGGGGAAAATTTGATTGGTTAACTTCCAGTGATGGTTATTTTCTTATATGCAATGAAATGTTATGTGAAATTTTTTCTATAGTACTGGACAGGATAAATCTTTACTCATGCCAAGTATTTCTTTATTTGAAACAAAGATAAATTCTGCACAATTTTTTGAAAAGTGCAAATTTAACAAAGACTAATAGGGGAAAATCAATGGTGGTATTACACCTTAACTGCCATTCTATGATAGAGCCAGGCAGATGTTAATTCCAGAGGGTTCTCAGAATTTCATGAAATTTATTGTATGCATTGCATATATATTGAAGATATGAAATGTATTTTTTTTTTTTTTTTTTTTTAATTTGGGGGGTCTTTTAGGGGGCTTAATGTTTTCAGCCTAATTTTGGCGCAATTTTGCTTTACAAATGACAATTTTTTAATCCACTATTTGTCTGCCTATTGCTCAACATCTGATTGTTTTCATAGTTTAAACAAGTTATTGTATAGTTAATTTGACTTTTCCATTCTTTTAGATATCTTATTTTTTTTCAAAAAAATATTTTGTTCAAGGGAGATAACCCATTACCTCAAAAAATTGAAAAAACCAAAAAAACATCACATTTTAAAATTGCAAAAAAAAATTTACGGACGCTTAAAATTTTATGAAATTGTTTGTTACTGAACATTTATCACCTATATTAAAATTAACTAAAAGATTTTACTCGGGTTCAAATTTATTTTCATCTAGTAGTAATTTCAAAATAGTGATTTTTTTATGAAATATTGGACATATTTTCTTCTGAATTTGGGTCTATCATATTATCAGAGTTTTAAATTTAAATTTTGTATTAACTAATGAATAAAACATACAAAACTGTTTTAAAAAGCATTAATATTCAAATAAATCAATAATGGATTGGATCCAAAATTTAAAAAAAATGATTGAATACCCCCCTTTTTTTATTAAAAAACCAACGTCATTATTAAGTCATTTAAATAGCCTGTTGTATACACTTAGTCACTAGTGCAAGTTTGCATGTATATTATTTGCTACCCACACTTTCTCTCTTTATCTAAGTTGGATGACCTTTATCAAAAATGTATTAGTATGATTTGGGAAAACAAGGGGGTGGGTGGGGAACTTATACATGTTTCAACCACGAAAGGATAGAATTTAATAAAACTTATGAACAGTCGATAAGTCTTTTTTATACACATAATCTGATTTTGCATATCTAAAACTACATTTTGAAAGTTTTTATGATTTAATGAATAATAACAAATAAAAATAAATGAAATACAAGTACAAGAAACAGAACAAAATTTTTAAATACATGTACATCAATTTCAAGCAACATTATCATGATTATCAAGCACATGTTAGAACAATTTTTTTTAAAGTGATTAAATAAGTCTTCAATACTATAAAGTTAATTGCAGACAGTATCAGAGATCCAGCATGACTAGTAATGTGAAGTAAATACCCATTACATAAATCATATAACTGTTCATGTTCTTTAACTTTTTTATACATCACTGGAAATGCCCAAGTCATAAAGATGCTAAACTTCAAGTGGTACCTTTGTATATAAAAAGAGTTGCTGGAGATATCTTTGATTTAAAGCTTGTGTATATATCAATTAAATTCAAAAGAGTGCTTAATAACAGAATGGAAATTACTTTTTAGAACAAATTATACATGTATACATGTTTGTACCAAACATTGTCCCCACTATGAAGGGTTAGAAATTTGCTATTCCTATACAAAAATAAAGTGTTACTAGAATGAGGTCAAGGTGAAAAAGCCATTCAGTTGTTTAGGAGGAGTTGCGGATGAGAGATGCTAGCCCTTAGCTTATTGGACTGAAAGATGGACAGAAAGATAGACAGACAAGAATGTTAACTAGAAACTTTAGTGATTAAAGACATAATGAACACATTGGCCTCAAGAATTTAAAGTGGTTAGGTTTATGACCCCTTCCATAGCTTTGTCAGTAGGTGTCTCAATAAATTTTCGAAGTGCAATAATTTTATAACAGCAAAAATAATAATCATGATAATTAATCATGTTAATAGAGATGTGCCATTTTATACATATACCAACATGACCAAAGGGAAACATTGTTTAATGCAATATTAGTTATTAATTTTTGCAAAAAATCCAGACTTTAATACAGAGATCTTGTTAGTGGGGGATTTAATATCATGGATATATTCTTTCCTTGAAATAAAGGAAATTAAATCCGCCACAAAAATTTCAGCTTTTATAGTATCAAGCAAAGAATTGTCAGACATAACAGTACAAGAGGAAGGCTGTGGATTTTCTATTAAATTTCAATATGTTTAGCATTGGAACAACAAAAATAAACATAATCCTTAAAGACATAATGAACACATTGGTCCTAAGATATTTGTTCAGTTACAGAGTCAACAATGTTCAAAGTCTCAATAGCATCTAACTCTGTTAGAACTTCATTCAAGTCATCATCAACTTCTGTTTTTAAGTTCAATTCTAATCCTGGATGTTCTGGGTTCTGTTTCTGTAGTTTTAATTGTAAGCTTGCAAATACACCTCTAACCTGTTGTGCTGAGACCCAATCATCAGGAGCAAATAATCTTCCACCTGCATCGTTTTTTTCATTTCGAATTTTATTTGCTACAGTAAGGGGATTTGCCTTTTTGCCAGTCCTCTCACCTTCATCAAAAATTTGTTTGATATAATCCTTAACTGAAGCCTTGAAACGCACAAATTTCCTTTCTGATTTTAAGGCCCACCCAGACTTAAGGTTTGATGGCATATCCATAAAATCTGCTCCAATAACAATATTATCCTCATCTTGTTGTTCATTATAGTTTATATTGGTACCATGGGTGCACTTCTCTGCCCAAACTTCCATGGCAACATCAGTTATTTTGTCATTTTCATGGTAAATATGTTGTCCAATGGCAAGATGTTGTTCTAGAGTGGAAGGTTTTCTAAACGACTTGACACACCCAGGAATTGTGCAACTTAAATCTCCATGCTCTACTGAATTATTCAACTTGAGTTTTGTTGGTCTTAAATTAAACGTTTCTTCACCATGTTCACAGGGCTCTTCTATAATCTGAAAATAAAAAAATGGGAAATATTTGACATTACTGATTAAAAGCCATATCTTTATATCATGTTTATAAATCTGATATCTTCTATAACATACTTTAAAAAATTAATTTGTTAAAACTTTTTCATATATACAAATGGTATATCTACATGTTTTTTTTTGTAATATTAAGAAAGTGACCAAACAGTCTGTAAATATATACAGGCTGTAAAGAGTCTGTATTTCTAACCTAGGTCTATGAGTAACTTCAACATTCATGACATTAGATACTTTCTTACATTGTGGACTTTAATAGAATTCATGAAAAAAATCTTTTTTTTTGGTATATCTTGTTTTGCTGCTAATTTGTTTTCTGTTTACAGTTTTTCTCTATTTTTTTTCGTTTTTGTCTCACTCTGAAATGCAAGAAATAGTAAGAAATATATCAATAAAGGTAATCACTAATTTATGACTATAACATGAACCAGGAGTAAAGCAACAATTACGGCAAACTTTGTAAATATTGACTTTTTGATCCTTTTTGCTATTTAAAGTGTCTATCTATCTTTTATAGTTTTCAAGATACATGCAGTAGTAAAAAAAAGTAAAATATTGGTAAAATTGTCATTAGCCCGGTGAGCTAAAAATGTTATCCAAGTACTAGTGTTAATGTTGTAAAGGTTATCTGTATGTCTTGTTTGATTTGCTGTTCTTGTTGAGTCAAAGACACAAAACCTATTTACATACACAAACCTACCTTTATCCTACTCTCATCATAACTGAGGTTTCTGGAGATCTTTTCTAGTATAGTATTTGTGATGAGATATCCACTTCCTATACCAAATGCTTGATAGACTCTGATTCCTTGATCCTCAAAAACAAAGTTTGACATCTTGCTGATCTTGAAGTGTTTAATTGTCCCTATCAAAACAGGTGGGTTCTCAACTGAAATGTCAACTAGTGTTACAAAGGTATTTCTAACACCTTTGTTACTCTCTAGTGCTCTCTTCAAATCTGCTGGATTTTCAATATTATTTCCTTCATTAGCAAATTTTAGCACATGCATCCTACAAGTTCCCGTTCTAGAATCACACAAGTCTTTTCCACTCTGTACTTCACTGAAGTTGTATTCTTTTACCTGTAAATCAAACAGAGAATTGTTCTTCCAAATAAATGCCATCAACTGCAAGGAATGGTAGCAACCTGCATTGTCTGATTTAAGAAACACTTCTTGTAAATTTGGCTGCAAGGTTTTAATTCTTAACAAAACATCCTTTAATAACATGGATACTGACAACCAACCTTGAGTACCGCCCTGCAATATGTGAAGAAAGGAAACCAGGCTAAAATTCCTTTCTATACAGTTTTCATGATTGTCATCAGGTTGCTTTGGTATTAATACAACTATCACATGCCAACTGATGCCTTGTTTGCCAAACCAATTTTGTTGTGATTCTCGAAAACTATGAGGTAAATACTTCATGGCCCAATCCATGATTATCAGGGCTTGATGGTTTTTCATGGTTTTTATTAATTCAGTTTTACTTGTTTCTTGGTTGATGGTTCTTACAACATGTGCTTTCCATTCTGATAACTTGCTACAAGATAGATCAAAATCATGTTCCATTTCAGATCTTAAATCAACTTCTATATCAGCTTCAGCAAGTGAATTTGAAATATCAGTTGTAACCTCTAAAACTTTGTTGCAAGGAGAACAGGTCTGGGTGTGTTCATGGCCACAAGATTCCTTAAAGTCCTTACTCTTATCATCTGTCAGAGCAAATGTAATACAATGATCAGCACAGTTTGAGTTTTTTTTCATATGAAGCTTCATGTCAAACTTTAAATGTTGATTCACCTTTGCAAGTTTGTTAAGCAGTTCTTTAGAAGCTTCATTAGAAAGCCCATTTTCTTCCAAGCGGTAGACAATTTTTTCAAGTGTTTCAATGGCCGTCATGCCATCTGCAGTATAACTATCAAGCCCCTTTAAAGATTTTTTTTGTGATGCAGCACACACTTTGACTATTTTGTATAATGTTGCTTTGGATGGTACAGCGATTTCTTGGTCTTCACAATAGGTTTCATATGCATTGATAATCCTTGAGGCAATCATTTTATCATTTTAGGTATCTTTATCTGCAGTCCAGATGATAAGTGAAGGGTTTTAGAACCATACCCTACTGCTTGCGAAAAAGATGGACTGAAAAGGAACTGAATAAAGTGTTGTATCTGAAACTTGGACATTCTAACTCGATGAATCTTTGGTGGGTTTATGATTTGCCCAGGACCATGAGTCGCAGAATATTTTCTTGCAGTATCAATCTTATACTTTGTCAATCCTGGAATTAGCTTACAGAGATCAGTCTTTTTAAAATTGTTCACAATCAAAGATAGAATTTGTATCTGACTCTGATGACCATCTGCTTTTGTATAGGCTTTTACTACAGCCTGGGTCAATGCATCTGCTTCTACTTTGTTTTCTGTTTTACTTGAATAATATTTTTTGAAAACTAATTTCATTAATTCGTCTGTCTGGTTTGGTGCAATACATTCAAATAAATACTGAACACACTCATTAGCTTTCTGTGTGATGTAATCACTCGTTGATTGATGAGTGTTGCTTAATGGTCGAGTCAAGGAGTACCGCAGTGGTTTAAAATTCCCATTAGACAGTATATCCATGCTTCTGTTCAGTTTATCACGAGTATATGTTGGAGGTTTCCATGAGTCTGTGCTAGTTAATTGTGATGACTGTGTACTTGACTGTGATGACTGTGTACTTGATATCTCTGCAAAATTATAAAAGATGTTTAATAAGAAAGTTGAACAAGACCTTGACTAGGTATCATTTTTTCAATCTCTATACACTACAAACTGCTGAGAGTCTAAAAAAAGACCATATGTTGTGCTCAATATTATCTCAGCAGTACTTAACTGTACTCGACTATGGTCTTGACTTTACTTAATAAATATTATTCAGTATTTAATAATCTTGGTGTAGTCTGAAATGGTCTCAACAAAAACTGAATTTAAATAGTCACTTTTAAATTTGATTATATAACTTTCTATGCCCTATTTATGGGCAATATGTTTTTCTGATCTGTGCCTCCGTTTATGTTTGTCTGTCCATCCTTTCGTTCTTTAGTCCGTCCTATTTGTCCCGCTTCAGGTTAAAGTTTTGGTCAAAGTAGTTTTTGATGAAGTTCTTAATACATAGTTATTGTCTGGAAACTGCAAAAACGCTTATTTGGGCCCCTTTTTTGGGGCCCTTATTCCTAAACTGTTGGGACCACAACCCCCAAAATCAATCCCAACCTTCCTTTTATGGTTATAAACCTTGTGTTAAAATTTCATAGATTTCTATTTACATATACTAAAGTTATTGTCCGGAAACCATCTGTCTTCGGACGACGTCACAACATGATACCAATACACGACCGCAAAATAAAAAGCTAGAATTTTCAGTTTGGACTAAATTTAGATAGTCATCATTAATTTTTTTTATAACTTTTTCAAAGCAACTTTCATAAAAATCTACAGCTATCATCATTTTATATTTATATTACAAGATACCAGGCTATTTAGAAATTTTGTTTATTGCTGTCAAATTTAACTATTTGAATTATAGATATCTATCTGAATTGAGTCAAAACTGAAAATTTTAGTTTTTTATACCTATCAATCATGTTAACTAAGGCAGTGTTCACACCAAAAGCCATGTACAGTAAACATGTTTACAATTAGTTTAATGTAATGGACACTGCTTTCACATTAAATTTGTTCACATCTATACACCTTGTTTAATTGCCTGTACATAAGATTTGTTCACACTTGTAAACTATATGTCATTTAAATGTTCATTACGTAGAAACGAATGCAAAGTTTTCGGACAACTTTTCTAGCAGTAAGGGAACGACCATTTCACTTCAAACCAGATGCTCCGCAGGGCGCAGCTTGATACGACCGCAGAGGTCGAATCCTGAACAGTTGGGGCAAGTATGGACACAGCATTCAAGCTTGATACAGCTCTGAATTTGGATTGTGATTAAATATTTGACACAGCATAGGTTTCTGACACAGAATGAATGTGGTCTAAGAACTTAAAAATTTTAAATTGGACATTTACCTATTTTGTCTAATATCCAAAATCTAAATACATGGTTAGATTCAGCATATATCAAAAAACCCCAAGAATTCAATTTTTGATGAATTCAAACAAAAGTTTAATTTTGGACGCTTTTGACCTCAATGTGGACCAATTTGATAACAGGGCCCAAAAATCAAAAATATAAATACATGGTTAAATTCAGCATATCAAAGAACCCCATATATCAAATTTTTGTTGAAATCAAACAAAGTTTAATTTTAGACCCCTATTTGGACCAACTTGAAAACTGGGCCCATAATCAAAAAACCCCAAGAATTCAATTTTGGTTAAAATCAAACTAGTTTAATTTTGGACCCTTTGGACCTTAATTCAGACCAATTTGAAAACGGGACCAAAAATTAAAAATCTAAATACAAGGTGAGATTCGTCATATCAAAGAACCCCAATAATTCATTATTTTATGAAATCAAACAAAGTTTAATTTTGGACCCTTTGGACCTCAATGTGGACCAATTTAAAAACGGGGCCCAAAATCCAAAAACTTAATACACGGTTAGATTAAGCATATTAAAGAACCCCAAGAATTCAATTTTTGTTAAAATCAAACTAAGTTTAATTTTGGACCCTTTGGACCTTAATGTAGACCAATTTGAAAACGGGACCAAAAATTAAAAATCTGAATACACAGTTAGATTCGGCATATCAAAGAACCCCAATAATTCAATTTTTGATGAAATCAAACAAAGTTTAATTTTGGACCCTTTGGACCTCAATGTGGACCAATTTGAAATAGGGGCCCAAAACCCAAAAACTTAATACGCGGTTAGATTCAGCATATCAAAGAACCAAAAAGTTTAATTTTAGCAAAAAGGAAAAAAAAATCCCCCCCCCAAATTTTTTTGAACTCCCTTATGATTCATCAACCCCAAATTCAATCCCAGCCTTCCCTTTGTGGTGTGGTACCTTGCAGTACAATTTCAGAGAGATCCATACATTTGAACACAAGTAATTGTCTGGAAACTAGAAAAATGCTTGTTTTTTGGCCCCTTTTTGGCCCCAAATTCCTAAACGTTTAGGGAAATTATCCCCACTCAAACCCAGCTTTCCCTTTGTGATATGGAACCTTGTAGTACAATTTCATAAAGATCCATACAATAACACAAGTTATTGTCCTGAAACTAGAAAAAAGGCTTGTTTTTTGCCCCATTTTGGCCCCTAATTCCTAAAAGTTTGAGGCAATTACCCCCAAAATCAATCCCATCCTTCCCTTTGTGGTATGGTACCTTGCAGTACAATTTCAGAGAGATCCATACACTTGAACACAAGTTATTGTCTGGAAACAAGAAAAATGCTTGTTTTTTGGCCCCTTTTTGGCCCCAAATTCCTAAAAGTTTAGGGCAATTACCCCCAAACTCAAACCCAGCTTTCCCTTCGTGATATGGAACCTTGCAGTACAATTTCATAAAGATCCATACACTTACACACAAGTTATTGTCCTGAAACTAGAAAAATGCTTGTTTTTTGCCCCATTTTGGCCCCTAATTCCTAAAATTTTGAGGCAATTACCCCCAAAATCAATCCCATTCTTTCCTTTGTGGTATGGTACCTTGCAGTACAATTTCAGAGAGATCCATACACTTGAACACAAGTTATTGTCTGGAAACAAGAAAAATGCTTATTTTTGGCCCCTTTTTCCTAAATTTTTTGGGCAATTACCCAAAACTCAATTCCAGCTTTCCCTTTGTGATATGGAACCTTGAAGTACAATTTCAAAAAGATCCATACACTTACACACAAGTTATTGTCACGAAACGAGAAAAATGCTTGGTTTTTTTTCCCCTTTTTTTGGCCCCTAACTCCTAAAATTTTGAGGCAATTACCCCCAAAATCAATCCCAGCATTCCCTTTGTGATATGGAACCTTGTGGTACAATGTCAGAGAGATCAATACACTAACAATAAACTTATTGTCTGGAAGTTACAAAAATGCTTATTTTTGGCCCCCTAATTCCTTAACTGTTGGTACCATAACCCCCAAAATCAATCCCAGCCTTCCTTTTGAGGTATTGAACCTCATGGTAAAATTTCATAGAGATCCATTCACTTAAACTTAAGTTATTGTTCGAAAACCAATGTGTCTTCGGACGACGACGAAGCCAACATCATACCAATATACGACCGCAAAATTTTTTGCGGTCGTATAAAAAGGGGATGGAAAATATTCCGATCCCGAATTTGATAAAAAAAAATCTGGTCATACAGATGATAAAAAAAAATAATCTGAATCAAGAGTTTCCCCATATATTATTATATTATATATTTGATTGCTAGCATCGAAAAAAAAACAGAATACAAACATTTGCGAGAAAAATTCTGACTCAGATAAAAAAAAAACCAACATACCCCTCCCTTTTTTTTTTAAAGTTAAATGGTTGCTCCTTTATGAAAGCCATTTTGATGATTTGCAGTAGTTTAAAGATACTAAAGATGTCTCGATTATGCATTAGAAAAAGTAGGCTGCAGCAGTGTGCATACAGACAAAGAAAAAACAGAGATGTAAGGATCACTACATTTATATCTTTTCTGTTTGTTTCAAATGGTATTTCTTCTCCAGGGAGTATTTGACAAAGGGAGGGGGTAATGTTTTTTTTTATTTTTAAGTGTAATTTAACGCATCAGAGATATTAGACAAACAATACATTTACCTCACACTTTTGGTAATTCATTTATGAGTGAATCGTTGTTTGAGTAAAGACCAGTGGCAAATATTTCTGTGTACGTCGAGTCGGTTTCGGAAAGACCTTTTCAAATGAATTATGTGTTCGGCAATGATATTGCTTTGAGTCTTGATAAGGGTACCGGTTAATAAAGCTACGCAAAGTTTTTTTTATAACAAATGAATATATCAAGTTTAGACAAATATTTCTGTAAAGAACTTTATAAATAATTGTTATAAATATCAATTTTATTCAAAAATCGTTTCTTCCTTAAATATACATGGTAAAATTAATGTTCTAAATGCCTAGTTTTGTGTACACTTAACCTACACAAGGCCTACATTGACTATCGACTGTGTGTAGACAAAACATGATTTAAACTACATGTACACATTGAGTTTTATCAATGGGAACGTAATTGTGTTTAGTTTACGTGTGAGTTACACTAACACAACACTGAGTTTAGGTCAATGTGAACATGGCCTAAGTCCTTAAATTTGACAGCAAAATACAAAACAACCTGGCATTCTGAAAGATAAATTTATAATAAGGATAGCTTTAAGTTTGATGAAAATCACACTATAATTTGTTTCTATTTTTAGCAACAGCATCAATGTTTGTTGGTTGGCCTACATAATTGACAAAAATTTGATAATAGATACATTAATTATGATCCTGGCTAAGATTAAACACAATCCAATCAGCAGTTTCAGGGAAGATTTTTTTAAAGATTGACATTTACAATAGGTCTCTACATGGAAATGAAGATTTATACTGTATTATTTATCAAACTTACCAGAACTATAAATCTGTAGACTTGAATTAATGTCAGCAGCATCAGGATTCATTTCATCAACTGAAAGAGAGAATTCATATTATAATCATTACTATGATTTTAAAAATAATCTATAAATAATGAGCATCCCATTAATCAGTTAGTTTCAGCATTAAATGTAGGTCACTGTGATGCAATTGTTGATGTATTGTGTAGTTCTTTACAATAATGTAGTTTTGATATATCCATGATCAAAAGGATGATACATTACTATAGGAGTGTTTTGATAAATGAATATGAACTGAATACTTAACAAAAGTCAGTGAAGTGTGAAATGTAAGTCATTGTTACTCAAGTTATGCTGAACAGTGTTGTACTATACAAGATGACTGTAGTGAGTACATATCATTGATATATTACCATATATATATATTACATACTAACATGACTGACTGATGGAAAAGGGTAAATCTAACGTTCATTTGTATTGTTGTCATGTCAGTCAATGTTTCACGATAAAAGTTCATAAAACTTGAAATTAAATTGAACATCCAACATGACCAACTTAATAAGATCATATTCATCATTTAAGAATTGAACGCTTCTTTTTGTAAATTCTTTGGGGTGTAAAAGCGTTGACCGAAGTACATTTTGTATGAAGCGCTTTATTATTTAAATGTGTACATGGTCAAAGCTTTTACAACCCTATGAAAATACCAAAAGAAGCATTCAATACTTGTAATTACATTTTTTTGCTATGATCATGAAAACACAATTACCATGATTACTATCAAGTTTTTTTCTTTTATTTACCTGGGCACTTTATTGTAGAAGCACCTGTCAACATGAATGTTACAAATTCATTTTGAAATGAAGTTGATTAAGGAATAACGTGAGATTGCAGTTAACCAATCAGAATAACATATTATAATGACACATACATCTAATGTAACTATAAGCAAATGTATGTATAAACCAATTTTTGTGTTTACCGTAATCTTCTGATGGATATGTGGCTGGTGAAAAACATGGACTGCAAGGTACCATCTGTTCACTTCTATTAATATTCTGTTCATGAAAATTCATTGCAACTTTATGGAACTCCACTTAAATAAAAATAGAGATAGAAGTTAAAATTGTATACTGTACTTGAACTTAATGTCGAGAATTTCGCAATCGGTAGATATTTGCTAAAATTACTCCATTCTAAAATGCAAATAATTCAATATGCATACATGCATATATATGGTTAATCTGATTAATAAAAAAAGAACTTAAATAAACTCTTCAAACCACATACTTATGTTGTTCTTGGTTCATATCTGTCATATTTTTTTTTGATTGATTGATTGATTGATTGTTGGTTGCTTTACGCCGCATTAGCACAACAAGGCTATATCGCGGCGAGAGCTAATTCGAATATTTTTTACAATTTAAAGCATATTCTTAAAATCAGACAAAAGGTCCTTCAATAAACTAAAATTCTAGATTAAAGCAAATTGATTATTTACAAATAAAAATGAACATTAAGATAACGTGATAAAAATTTTAAATCGTTTTAAATATAATAACATTTTTATATTTTAGAATATATTCCAACTTCTTTTAAAAATGAAACAATATTTGTAAATGAAACATTATTAAATAAATCATACATATTATTGACATTGAAATGCTTCTTACGAATATCAGCAAAGTCAATACAATTGATTAAAACATGTTTAATAGTATACTTGCAGTTGCAAGGTATACATTGTGGTTCTACTTCATTTTTTAAAAGATATTCGTGTGTTATTCTAGTATGACCAATACGACATCTAGAAATAACACACTGATCTTTTCTGCACATAAAATTATTGAAAGGTTTACATAAATTAGGTTTAATTTCATGTAATTTACTACCATCTTTTTTACTCCATTCATTTTTCAATATATTAAAAACATATTCTCTAATATTAGATTTAAAATCGGTATATGGTATATCACAGTTAGATAAAGGGTCACCCAGGGCATTCTTTGCCTCAAGGTCTACAGCTGTGTTTCCAAGGATTCCAACATGACTCGGCACCCATAGAAATAATATTTCTTTAAGAAGAATTTTTAAATTCCTCATTACATATAAAATTTTGAGAATTGTTGGGTTTTTAATTTTAGTATTTTGTATAGCTTGTAAGCATGAAAGTGAATCAGAACATATAATAAATTTGGATTTATCTGAAGAAGCAATAAATTTCAAAGCCAAAATTATTGCTTCTGCTTCAGCAGTAAAGATCGATGCATCAGATGGCAAACGGAGAGTTGCAGCTCTGTCCCTGAAGACAGCAGCAGATGCAACTCTGTCACCATCTTTTGATCCATCAGTATAGACAGTTGAAAAATCTGAATAATTGGCTTTGATTTCAGCATAGTGTTGCTGAATTAAAAGAGGATTTGTTTTATTTTTATTGTGTTCACGGAGATCAAATATCATTTTTGGTTTGGGAAGTTCCCATGGAGGACATTTGCAAGTTTCAACTTGAGCAACAGATTTTAAATCAAAAGAAGCTAAATGTGGTTTTAAACGTATACCTAACGGAGGAATTTTATTTTCATGTTTTGCAAAAATATCTTCATAAATTGGATTAAAAACACAGCTGTAGGCAGGATTATCTGAGTAGGCTTTTAGTTTGACAGCATATTGAAGTCCAAGCTTCAAACGTCTGTTAGAGAGTGAGTGCTCATCAGCCTCTACATACAGACTCTCAACTGGTGAGGTTTTAAATGCGCCAAGACAGAGACGCAAACCCTGATGATGCACAGCATCGAGAATCTGTATGTAGGACTTCCTTGCAGAGCCATACACTATAGAGCCATAATCTAGTTTAGATCTAACTAGAGATCTATATAAATTAAGTAAAATGTTGCGATCAGCACCCCAGTCGGTGCTGCCGACAACTTTTAAAATATCTAATGCTTTTAAACATTTCGATTTTAACATTTTGATATGGGGTAGAAAGGTTAACTTTTTATCGAAAATTAACCCAAGAAATTTGGTTTCATCAACCATTTTAATTGGGTTGCCGTACAAAGTGAGTTCTGGATCAAGATGCAATTTCCTTTTGTTACAAAAATGCATCCCGACCGTTTTTGAAGTGGAAAATTTAAACCCATTTTCCGAGGCCCATTTTTCAATTCTTCCAAGACATAACTGTAATTGTCTTTCTATGTTATTCATATTTTTGCCTCTATAACATATTAAAAAGTCATCAACATACAATGAACCTTCAATATTACTTTTTAAAACTTCAACAAGGCTGTTGATTTTAAGACTAAATAATGTAACAGATAAAATACTGCCCTGAGGGACACCCATCTCTTGATCATACAGATCAGACATGGTTGAATTTACTTTAACATTAAATTGTCTGTTAGATAAAAAATTCGAAATAAAATTTGGCATATTGCCTTTCAACCCCATATCAAACAGATCTTTTAAAATACCATACTTCCATGTAGTATCATAGGCTTTTTCTAGATCTATTTTTTTTTTTGTAAATGTTTTGTTATAAAAAAGGCCATTAGTTTTCTCAGTTGAATTGTTTCCTATTTTTCAAGTCTTGGACTTTTAGAGCTAACCAAATGGTACTGTATTAGATTGTATCATTGTTGAAGGCTGTATGGTTGCATCCACTTCATGTGAATTTTGGTAGTCTTATTGGCAATCATACCACATCTCCTTTTTTTATACCTAAAGAAGTACATACAGTGTGTATTTAATAGTGTAAATATTTGCACCTATATTAACATTATAATTAGTACAGTTATATTACTGTTGCATAATAGCATACATGTTAAGCCTACCAGGTCTTAGTTTTTTGCAAACCTCACACCTCCTGAATTTGCCAGGATTTATACATGTACTTCACTTTTTTTGGACAAATGGCAATGTTTTTATCAGGGAATATTGATATGGGGGAGTGAAACCAGCTTAGATATTTCGATGTTTTGTTCTGTTCTGGTATATACCTCCGTTAACTGTAGTTCTCTGATTTACATTTGATTAAAAGTAAATTATCAAGGCCGGAAATATTGAGCAACCTTTACAGTATTCTGTAAATTTATACAAGCAAATTAATATCCATTTACAAGAAATTATCATGATGATTATGTATATAGGTACATTGTACATGTAGTATGGCCTAAAGAATCAAAGTCACATGATATTCTTATAAATCTTCCCTTATTTGCTGTCTAAAAGATGAAAACAGGTAGTAAATGTATATATTATAAACCTACCAATATCATTTTGTACATCTACAACTGTAAGGTATGTTTTCTTGTGTCTTTCTACACAACTTCTGCATAAACCTGTCATAAATGTAAATATAGAAGGTGGATAAAAAAATGTTATGGTAAGTACATATGGTCTGAATCATGAATATGATGATTAATCTTAAACATTTCTTGTAATTAAATGACCTGTGGAACAAACATTATTTCTAGTTTATCCTGCATAATGATAATCACTTGATCGCTTGATGAATTTGAGTGTAGGAATACAGGTGAATCCCTCTATCTGGTAAATGAATGACGTCCTAAAGGTGCATATAACTGACAATTTTTTTCCGGTGGGGAACATACATGTACATGTAACATACATAACATAACAACCCATCACATACTGTATGTACATGTATGTACATAAATTAGGCCATTAGTTTTCTCGTTTGAATTGTTTTACATTTGTCATTTGGGGGCCTTTTATAGCTGACTTGGCGGTATGGGCTTTGCTCATTGTTGAAGGCCGTACAGTGACTTATAGTTGTTAATTTCTGTGTCATTTCAACTCATTTGGTCCTTAGTGTAGAGTTGTCTCATTGGCAATCATACCACATCTTCTTTTTTATATTACTCGAAAGTAGTCTATTATAATTTAACTCAATTTATTTTTTAACAATCTGTTTTTACTATACATTTAGAATCAGTGGCAGATCCAGAACTTTTCATAAGGGGGGCCCACTGACTGACCTAAGGGGGGCCCGCTCCAGTCATGCTTCAGTGATTCCCTATATAATCAACCAAATTTTTCCCACAAAAGGAGGGCCCGGGCCCCCCCTGGATCCGCCTATGAGAATGTTGTTGTTAATCTCATAAAATTCTTGTTTTTCATTCTATAATGTGGAAAAAGCTACATACATGTATGTAAATAAAAGGAAAATTGTGCAAGTTTTTTATCTGCTAAGAAAAGAAGAAAAAAGATAAAAGACATAACTGGGAGGTATAAACTGATCCTGCATCATGTGAATGGTACATGTATGGGGAAACCAACAATTTTTTGCATGGCCTCAGAAGATTTAATGTTTTAATTCTGCAGTGGTTCTGTTTGAGCAGTGCAATTACATTGACTCGAGTCTATGTTTTGGTTTTTTTACTTTATGTCACCTTAATGTGCCATTGGCAATGCCACAGTGGGGGATCAAGAACTTTTAAAAATGGAGGGCCCAGGAGGGGGGATGCCTACTGACCAAATAAGGTGATGGGCAGTGACTTCCAAACATTTCAACTAGTTATTTCCAGCAAAAAGGGGGCTCTCTTTGAATGGGATTCCAATGCACATGATGCAAATAATTTGGGTTTTTTTTTCACGTATAGAAATAGCATGTGCACAGGTTTACAGGATAAAATTTGAATATCATGTGAAAATTTCCAACAAATCTATGGTTTTCATGAATTATTCTTAATTATAAGATGACAGTTATAGTTTATCAATGGCGAAAGTTAGAAAAGCAATCAAGTTCAGATGACCAACAATAATCTGTTTACGCTATTTTACCTACATGTACATGTATGATAATGTTGTCAATTAATTTCATTAGCAATGTAACATGCCCCCTTAGTTTCTAGTGAAATTTTTCATATCACTCGACTCTGATGAGAAAGGAAATTATCAGTCAGTAAGATCAATTTTTTTTTCCTGAAATAGCGATAATGTGTGTTACAGTATAACTTATAATTATATAACCATGTACATGTATTGTCCCAAAATATAATTCAATTGTGCTCAGCTCAAACATGTCAAAACAGGAATAGCCTCACATTTTATCCAATTTTTAAGCTTACATAAACTTTATACTTGGAGACAATGAACGTTATTCCATATCATATGTCTCATTGCAACACGCAATATCTAAATGCAAGCAATTCTTACCATCTCCAACTGCTGTGATGGTTCTGTCATGCACCCATATCTCTTTTGCAATGGCAAGTGTTATTCCCCGATCTGGCTTTTCTTTACTTGTCTTTGGGTGTAAGGGATGTGCACATGTTCGCTTACATCTATACCATTGTGTACTAAGTTTGTCTCTGTGAGAGTCACATATTGTCATTTTCATAGTGGCATTTTCCACCGTAAATAAACCAGCACGATACAGTATTAATAAACCCTCTGGTATTGATACATGCTTGTCTTTTGGACCGGATTTAAAACGAATAAGATGGTCACTGATATCACATCTCAATTTATATATAATTTGACAATCTCCTTCACACTTCACTGCATCAAACGATCTAGAAAAGCTACATTCTTGTTTAGCAACAAGTGTTTCCATGGGGGCTGCCATTTTGATTATGACAGGAAAGGTTTCAAAGGGGAGGTAATCAGTAAAAATACTGGTGAGGAAACTGTTGAAAATTTGGTTATTTTGTTCACCAAAAAAATATATTTACACTGAAAACCCAAGAGAGAAAAATTATCAATAATTCATATAACAACTATATTTTATATTTCATTCAAAATTAGAGAAAAATAAGCGTCCTGTATTGTTTTGTCTTAATTTAAAAAAACCTCACAATGTCAAAGGTCATGTGACTTACTCTATTTGACCTGCTTTCAAGGGAGGGAGGGTTTTACTATGAGAGAGAAATTTTATTTTTTGCATCAATCTGAAGACACTTGATGTAGTTGTATACTTTTTAAATCCAATTTTAAAGCCCAAAAGGTATTTTTGGGGGTTCTAAAAGGACTAAATTCAGCAATCAGAAATGGACCAAATATGATGGTTATACTTGACCACCCAATGAAAAAAATGAGGTCGATATTTAAATTTTTTTTTTTTTTTTTTTTATTTAAACACAAATATATATTAGTTTTTTATATATTTCGAGATAAAATAAAATACCCCAGGAATTGATATTCCTTCAATTTGCCTGGTTTTCTCGTAGAATGACAGTTAAAGCATCATCAATGCTCTTGTCCTGAAGCGATATCACCACCTGTCTGAATGTTGGAAACATTTTTTCACGGAACCGTTTCTGTGCAAGGCCAATGTTAGCAAAACTACTAAATCGTTCGTATTGGGCAGGAAACATCCCAGCACAGAGATAAGAATGAATCAACTTGTAATTCACTGTAAAGTCCTGCTTCAGTGCGGAGGAGGAATGCCAGAAAATCGGAAAAGATGTTGTTTTAACTGGTTTAACAACTAGTCTGGCAACGTGTCCAATTTTGGTCATTTCGGCCGGTTCAAGAGGACCATATCACTGCGATAGACGTACCAGTTCAAACAGTTTCTGTTTTGAGCAAACAAAAAGGTCTTGGTCATCCTGTCCACTATTATCAATTGGATTTATTCTTTCTTCCAGCTTTGGAGTTGAACAGTTCTGATTGTAAAAGTCCATCAAAATATTCAAAATGTCCACATTAGATTTTACTTTCATTTTCCTATTTAGGCCTTCATATTTTTCATCAAATGCCAACTTTTGTGAGTCATTGTCAAAATTGTAGTCAATGGATTTTCGAGGTTTTCTGACATATTTGTATGATTTCACTTCTCCATTTGAAAGTCTCTTTCTATTGAAATACTCCACATTTGTAATATTACTTAGTATATTCATATCGCTAGCTATCTTGGTACGTATTGTATACAGCAACAAAATTCTATGTTTGATTTGAAATTGAAAGAATATAGGCGCATCAATGAGCAAACCAATCAAATTCAAAGTTTATAAATCACATGACTTTGATGAATGATCTGGGCCAATCGGATTTGATTTCAATTGAAAAATTAGGCGCAAAATTTAATAGACCAATCAAATTCAAACATATAATCACATGACTTAGATAAGGTCAAATGTAAAAGCAAAAATTGAAGAAAGTGCAAAAGCAAAGATGGAAACAAGATGTGAAATGGTTTTGAAAGTAAACGAAGAAGAAAAGGATAAATTGATGATATTTTTGTATTGTTGGTAAGTTTATTTATTTTTTTATTCATTTACTTTATAGATATTTCAATAAAACATTATTCTGTAAATGTGAATATTTATTTAAATAAGATGTCATTTATCTTTTAAATTGAATTATGTTATTATATTATTATATTATTATCATGTGACAAATATAAATGTAAATAATGCATATCATAATGTTTATATGTTTTTTGTTATTGATGACTGCAATTTTATTTTATTTATAAAGAGAAAAAGGTCTAAAAAGGATGAAAGTGGAAGTACTTCTTCGAGCCAAAGAAACAATCAGGATGAAAGTGGTGACAGATGACAATGGTGACAATGGAGATCCAGATCCAGGCCATGATGACATTGAATTACGACAAGGACAATGTCCTTATTGTTTCATCAATCCGTGTGTTTCTACCTTAAACATTGCTGCTTCATGGGTAGGGAATGGCCAACCACCCTCAAATGCAAACCCTCAGATACGATTGATTGATTGATTGTTGGTTGCTTAACGTCCAGTGGCAAATATTTCATGCATATTCAGGACGAGAACAAATTAACAATAAATACAATAGATAGGTTCTGTAATAGGGGCTTCCGGGATTAAGGTCGGAGAAATTTAGACTGCCACGAGGGTATATTTGGATAGGGACAGACATTTATCCTTGTAACAGGTCACCTACGGACCCCTCAAAGAGTTGTTGCAAGGGTTCTTAACGTGCAAAGAACATGGCACTCTCTTTACACGAGGCATCGGATTTAACGTCCCCATTCTAACCGGACGTGGCTGCAAATTTGTACATCCCGCACAGCCAAACGGACGCCCCACTTTAGCAAGGGTTTTACTGCCGGTCGGAGGAAGACCAATGGTGACCATACTTCTATTCCCCAGTCACCCTTGGGGGGGGGGGGGGGGGGGGGGGTCCTCAGATACGAAAAGGGATATATAGAAGATTTTGGAAATGTATAAACAGTATGTATGGATGGTGAATGGGTTGTTATGCACCAGCGGGAAATTATGCCTGAGTGTGTTTTGACACTTGTTAGAGAACTTTACCCTAATCCTGTTGGAATACAATGTATGGGGCATATGTGGGAATAACAGTAAACTGTGTATAAATTGTGTAAATATAAATGTCTAAAACTACAAATTATTGTGTTTTTATCAATGAAGTGAAATACGATGCTAATACATCTGTGTAGTGTAAGCACAAGGTATTTGATTTTTAATGACTCAAGTGCATCTGGAAACCTCATTATCACTGGAGATAATTCAATGATTTGTCATTCCTCCTATTGGAAGTTCTTTGGGTTTAAGTTTGCCTCAACCAAATGTTATGAAACTTATACAGAATGCTTATTACCACTAAATACAGATCAAGTTAGAATTTTGGTAGTGTCACTCTAACCATTCTATAGTTATGCCCCTTTATAAATAGATACATTGCAAAATTTTTAGTTTCCGTTCACTAACTTAATTTTACCTCAAACATATGTTATGAATCTTATACACAGTGCTTATTACCACAAAACACAGATTAAGTTTGAATTTTGGTGGCATCACTCAAACGGTTCTAGATTTATGCCCCTTTGTAATGGAAAAAATGCTAAATTTTTAGTTACCGTTCTCTCACTTAAATTTGCCTCAACCAAGTGTCATGAAACTTATACACAATGCTTATCACCACAAAACACAGATCAAGTTTTAATTTTGGTGGCGTCACTTAAACGGTTCTAGAGTTATGCCCCTTTATAAATAAAAAAATTACAAAATTTTTAGTTTCCGTTCTCTTAATACAGTTTGCCTCAACCAAATGTTATGAAACGTTTACACAATGCTTATTACAACGAAATACAGATCAAGTTTGAATTTTGGTGGCGTCACTCAAACCGTTCTAGAAAAATTCCCCCTTATAAAAGGAAAAATTGCCAAATTTTTAGTTTCCGTTCTCTAACTTAAGGTAGCACAATACAAAAGCAACTAAATTTTATCAAAATTTCATTTTCAGCTGTTACTTCTTAATGTTCAAAAACCACAGAAGAAAAAAATATTTACATATCTTGCACTGTTAATGAGTTTTGATGATAATTTGTTTTATAAACAAATGCACGTGTCTGACTGATACAAGATAAGAACATGTGGGCAGTACTATGTGGTTAATCAATAGAATCATTTGGTAGCTTTACAACCACTGACCAGCAATAAAAATAACAGTTATGAAAAAGAGGTGGATTAGGGATTTATGGAAAAATGAAGATAATGAATTCCAAATAAAAATACATTTCTGTATTGGAGCTGCCAGGAGTAAAAACAAAACAACTATTTGGAGCTATAGAGGGAATCAAAATATAAATGTACAGATATAAAAAAATATAATTGTTCAAAAATAAATGTTGCTGATGTTTATACTTGAATTTCTTTAGAAGAATCTTTAAATATGAATTCTTTTAAAAGAAAATACAAATTAAATATAGTAGTGTGTTCATGGTATGTGGACAGTGAAAGGTCGTTTGGCAGGATGTCTTTTGGTATTTGATCTTGGTTTCCTTCGATTAAATAAATGTTCATTTCAGCTTTATTCAGTCAACTGCATCAGGTTCATTTGTTGTGTTTTTGCATAGATTTCACATTTCATTAGCTTCAGCTTACCATGGTAAAACTTCAAATAGACATAGGTCCAGGTCTCCATTAAGACCAACCCCTGAGAGTGAAGGAGGTCGCTGTCAACACCTGACAGTGGAAGGAGGACAAGCACAATCAGAGCAACTCCAGAGGGTCCAGTAGTTAGAGAGCTAGAGAGAAGGCAAAGGGTGTTTCCTGACTTTGAGAGGGACAGTCAGGGGGACGTTAGCACACCACGAAGTAAGTAACATCATGGTTGCCTAATTTTCAAAAGAAGGCAATAATTATAAAAATAGAAGTGTTTTCTGGATATTATTTTACCAACCAAAAGGGCTAGCTAGATTTATTTGTGTCTCTAAATAATTGTTATTGAAATAATAGTGAGAATTATGCTTTCTGGAACTTGAAAAATAGAATTGATATATGTGTCGTATACATTTTTTTAAAAAAACAGTCCTTGTTTTTATGGCCCTACTGCTAGGATAAGTAATTGTTCATGAGTTATGTCCCTTTGTTAATTTATATGTTTGTGTCCCATTGACACATTCTCCATTTATGTTTTATAAAGTTTAACTTATATAAACTGTTTGACAAAACTGATCTGAATGGTATTGATCACAAAGGTTATTTCTTTCCATTATATATTAGTATAGGTTTTGAAGACAAAGTTACATTGGGGCTGGCTAGAATAGAGAGGACTCTTCTGGAACACTCGCAAATGTTGAGAAGACTAATCAGTGGCCAACCATCAACATCTGCTGATGGAGATTTAGATCTTGACCAAATCATGTGAAAACAGTAGATGAGCTGGCAGACTTATCTGCCAGATTTCTAGAAGACAGGGATTTCCCAAAAAAACTGGTAAGACCACTCTTCATTTTACTGTGAACTGGTGCAGAAAAATAACCAAGCTAAAAGTTTCATTGGTATTTCTGTTCTGTATTTGGTGAAAATCTGCGAAATACTTAACAATTATCTTGGAATTGGCAAATGTTTACGTTATTCTATTCTTTGTTAAATGAATGTTTTACATTTCCAATATCATGGACATATTTCTATCTTTTCAATAAACTTTTATTACCGATAACCTATATTATACTGATAAAGCTAAAAAGGAGTATTGATTTAAAAAAAAAAAGCAAAAAGAATATTTTTGAATATGATACTGGAGTGATTACCTTTTGATGATAATATTTTTATGTTTATGTTGATGTTAATAAATCATTATGTTTTTTCAGGTACGTGTTCTATGAGCCTTAGGAGGTAGCAATATTGGCGATACCCTGAGAAGAATAATGAGACGTATAGGGAGCAAATCACTGTGGTCTCTTTTCAGTTTGAAGAGCAAGAACAAAAAAGTCCCTTGAGGCAGA